GCAGAGCGAGCCCTGCCTCCTTCTCGGGAGCTCACTGGCGTTCCCAGACCTGGCAGGACCCCGCGGGCTGGCTTGACACCAGGAGCAAAGCTCCTGGGGCCGCCAGAGCCGTTTTTAGTTCCCGCTAGTCTAGATTCTTCTCGCGCCCCGCGCTGGCCTGGGGGAGGGGCGGCACAGGAGACAGCGACGGCTCCGGCTCAGCTCCCGCACCACCAGGCTCGGCCGTAACCTCGGGCAAATCCCTTCCCTTCCCTGAGCCCGGCTTCCTTTCCTCTGACCTGGCCGTGGGTGGGGACGAATAGAAGCAGAACCCAGTGCCCGGAGCACAATCGACGCTCGGGGAGGAAGCCTTTGCCGGCGGCCTCGGTGCCACCGCCCCCCGCCCCCCCCACCCCCCGCCCCGCCCCGGGTCTGGCCGCGTTTCCAGGCCCCAGCTCAGATGCAGGTCCCAGCGGCAGGGCCAGCGCGGGGTCGGTGCCCAGGGGCTCCTGGCGTTTATTTCTAGTTTGGGAGCACATCAGGGCAGCAGTATTTTAGAATATATGTAATAAAGATGTAAATAAAACGAGGATTTTCTAAAATTTTGGTTTGTTAGATTCTGAAATGGAGTAAGAAGAAAAGCTATTAAACCTCCCCTAGAGGTAGTGAAGCTGAAAACTGAGTTGGCGAGGAACGAGTTAAATCTTGAGCCGTTAGGGCCTCTTGAGCCCCGACTTTGTGAGGACCCAGTGGCAGCTCCGCAGGCCTTGTCTGCACCAGGGGCAATGAGGGTCCCAGCCGAGTCCCTGCGCGGCCCCCAGGAAGCATCTTCGGGGGCTCACAGGCGCCGCCGGCCGGTCTAGTGCATTGTGGCTCAGCGTGAAAAGTCTTAAACTGGTCTTAATTTTCTCTTGTGTAAGGATTTCGAGAGCCCTGCTGAGTGAGCAGTGGGCCGTGCGGGCCCATTCGGGGTTAGATGACAGTAGGGACATTCTAATGAAAAAAACGGTCCCAGTGAGGGAAGGAGACCCGACCAGGGGTGAACACACAGCCCAGTGGGCAGGTATGTCCTGTGGGACTGTGCGCCTGAAACTGTATAATTTTGTTAACAAGTGTCACCTTAATAAATTCAATACAAGGAAAAAAATGATTCTTTCCCTCCCTTGCAGGATATGAAATTGGTGATAAAGAAAAAACACTTCCCAAATTTGGACTAAAAATATGGAACTATCATCCACTAAACTATTTTATATTATGATTAATAACATCTTAAAATAGAGTGTTATGCGAAACAAATGTTTATTGAATATAACTATTCCAATAAAGCAATATTAAGATGACAAATTTCAGTAGCAAAAAGCAAACTATTATATGTAATATGTATTTTAACAAAAAGAAACATTTTAATAAACATTGCAAACCCAACAGATATCAAGTATTGGATACTGATGAAACTTCTAAGTAAATAAAATATATTTTCTATTTTATGAACTATAGTTTTGTGGCTGCGAAAACGCATACTTGCTAATCCTTTATAGCTTATGCCTACAATAGGAATTAGACATTGAACATAAACTTTAAACTGTACCTAAATTATATTTTTCTCAATTAAATTATATTTAAAACTGAGTTAGTTCTCATCCTATCATTCTATGTTCTTTCCAGTCAAAACAATTTTCCCTACTACAGTTGTTCACCAGAAAAAACCAGAAAATCATACATAAACTAAAATACCCCAAACAGCTAAATTTAAAAAATGTGCAAGTAAAACATTTCCATAGCTTGTAGTAGCTTTAGTAGTTTTCTTATAAAAATTATCTCAACTTTTATAAACTATGTCAAAAATATCAGAGTACCAAAAATAATATTACATCCATATACTCACCACAAATTAAACCAGTGGCTACGTTTGCTCCAGTTTTCTCTTGTCAGATAGGACAAGGTTCACATCGTCTGGGTGGTTCTTACTCAGTGCTATTCTTGCTAGATGTTAAAATGTAGCAAAGTATTTTGCCTGTGCAGTTGTAAACAGGATACATACAAAGGGGAACCCCCAAAACCAGAATTACCTTGTGGAGGGCGGGTCCCTTGTAGTTAGCACAGGCTTCTCCTGCTAGGTAAGTGTTCTAGGAACCCATCTGCATCAGTGTACCAGCTGGCGCTGTTGTGAGAGGCTGCGTTCCACCTCAGAGACCTTTTTTTGAAGCCTCTTGCTGTGCATTTGCCCATTTCACAATGGGTGATTTACAAGTGTACCTGCCTGCACCTCACTGAGTCTTCACCAGTTTCTGATAAAAAATGGCATGACCCCCAAACTCACCCCTAACAACTTTTTTTTGTTTGTTTCCCAGCATGAAAAAAAGTTTGCAAAGGGAAATGTTTTGTCTATGTGGAAGAGGTGAAACAAAAAATGGTAGAAGCTCTGAAAGTCATCAGAATTGACAAGTTCAAAAGCCGTTTTGAGCGGTGGAAAAAAAGGTCTCGAGAGGTATATTGCATCAAATGGAGAGGACTTTGAAGGCGACTGAAGTTTAAACATGTAAGAGTAAGTGCACAATTTTTTATAAATAAATTCTAGGTTTCCACCCCCCCCACCCCACCTCATACAATTCACCAAACAGTGTATATAAGCAATGGTTATGCTCCCTTCCAGAGACAGAGCTTTGGGTGCTAATCCCGTCTTCTTTGCCTGCTGCAAGTAAATAAAACTACCTTGTGACAAACACGTGTTGGGGCACAGAGCACCCTGAGCAGTGAACCCTTGAGTGAGCTCCTTGGGTTTGGTAACACTTCTACAAACAAATGTTTACGGGCCTGGCGCATTAGCTCAGTTGTGCAGAGCGTCCTCCTGATGCACTGAGGTGGTGGCTGCAGATTTGATCGTGGGTCAGGGCACATACAAAAATCAACCAGCTGATGCGTAGATGAGGGGAACTACAAACTGATGTTTCTTTCTGTCCCTTCCTTCCTCTAAAGAGGTCAACAGCGACAGAAATAATAAAAACAAGTATTACATATCCTTCTCAAATATTTTTATACTTTTAGTACAGATTAGAGATCTATAAACCTCATAGTGTATTATTTTTGTGTTTTAAGGAACACATAATGGTATATTTTATAAACTTCCTTTGCTCTAAGTCTATTTGCTGTCAGACTGTATATGGGGAATAATAGTCATTGAATACCTAGGCCATTTAGCAGTGTATCACTTACACTGAGAGAATTAAAGAAATAATAAATATAACTCATTAGAAAAATTTACAGCCTAGTTAAAAATGCCAAAATGAAAAACGGGTGACTTAGATTTTTATAATATTTTACCTACCATACGGGTAGAAGGGAATAACTCCCACATAGAATTTGTGTTTGTTTTAAATAAGAAACTATGAATAGCTCTGCAAAAAATACTTGAAAAGGTCAATTTGATATGCCCCAAGTTTGAAAGATCAAATTATTTAACATAAGTTATGAGCCAGTTTCAGAAAACAGTCACCATCTGTGGAGCAGTGGGTCTCCTGTGAGTGCCCTTCAGAGGTGCCTGGGGTAACGAGTCAAGTTACAGTGGTTTAAGAGCAGGTTAGTCATAGGCTCAAGGAACGTGGGTACAGGACTGTGGTTCAAGGACTCAGGTCACATGACCAGTGTGAGAGGGCACAGAGGAGGCCTGAGTCTTACCAGAAGGGAGGGTATTCACAAACTCCTGCTTCCCGGTGTTTATGCTACAGGAAATACGCAAACGAGCTCAGTCAGTGTAAAGTTAATGAAAGGTGAAAATGAAATGAAAACTGCATAGAACTTACTGGTAGATTTCAATAACTAATTAGATGCTGCAAAATGCTTAAGTAGGTAAACTCCTTCATTTTCCAGTTTCTGCATCTTGGGAGGACCGACAGTGGAACCTTCACTTTGTGTATACTTATTTTTCTGTATTTTAATGAAACAGCTGTGTTCTAGAAAGAAGAGATGAGTGTTTTCTTGTCAGTTATCTCGGACCTGCCTCGTCCTAGTCAAGGCTGTTCGTTCAACGGTAATTTGGAGGCCGTGGCAGGCAGGATTGAGAGAGCTCCGCGTTGAAATCTGTGGTGGAAGGCTCGAATTTCTTCAGGAAGAACTGGCTTTAGAGTGGGGACAATGGGTTCCAGAGTTCGAGTTGAGAGCTGGCCAGCGAGTCACAGGTACAGGTATTATCCCATCCTTCATTGCAATTGCTTGTTGAACTGCGGTCTGCACCTCCGCTCGAGTCGGCCGCGCCCCGCAGTGCCGGGCACGGGCCCTCCCGAGGTGTGTGCTGAGTGATTTGTTGGCGGTCCGTGCACCATGCTCGCTGTGCGGTTAATCTCTGAAAACATGCCCCCCAAGAACCTAGATGCTGAAGCATTATTACGTGGACAGGGAGTAGAGGCAATGCAAGTGTAAAAATCTGTGTTAGGTAACCTTAACTTGGAGATTAGCCGCTCCGTGCACCAGATGAAAGACTGTCGCGTGGACCCCGCCCTGTTGTGACAGTTCCTGTCGCAACCCCTTCAGGAAGACAGACACCGAGCTCGGGCGGGGTCTGAGGGCCCAGGGGCAGGTGCATGGCCTGGGCTCCACAGGCGCAGGTAGAGCTGCGCGCGCCAGTGCGTCCCGGCCCGATACCCGGAGCTGCCAGTACGCGGCGCTGGGGCTCGGGCGACGGGGAGCGGCTGCGGATCACCTGCCACCAAGGGGCCGGCTCTCCCGCCGCCCCCGCTCCGCCCCCGCGCGCCAACCCGCCTCCGGCCCAGCGCACTCTCCGACTGGGGAGGCAGCCGAGCATTCGCCGCTGCGGGAGCGCCGGGTGCGGATCCCCGCGTCCCCCTCCGTGCAGCGAAGGGAGGCCCCGCCCGCCGCCGCCGCCGCCGCTGCCGCCGCCGCCTCCGCCTCCGTGGTGCAGCGGGGCCGCCCGCGCTCCGCACCCGGCGCCCGGTCCCTCCACCCGGCTGTGGGCAGCGGCGGCCGCAGCGGCAGCAGGAGCATCAGCCGGGGCAGTGCGAGGGGCGCCGGGCCAGCAGGCGGGAGCCATGGCCGATGCGGGCGAGGGCGAGGACGAGATCCAGTTCTTGCGGACTGTAAGCGCACCGCGCGTATCTCCCGGGAAGAACGACGGGCAGCCCCAGGGGGGACTGGATGGGGGCCTACGTTGGGGGCGCAGGCGGGGGAGAGGCCTTCCCGTCGGTGCAGGTGTGCGTGCTGAGCGAGAGAGGCAGCCTGCGTGTCCGCGCGTGTGGACAGCGAGGCACCGAGCGCGGCGGGCGGGGGCGCACGGGCTCGGTCTCGGGCACCGAGGACGGCGTCGCGGAGCAGCCACGCCGGGGAGCCGGAGGGATCTGGTCTGGGTGGACCGGTCGGCGAACTGGGACCTTACGCGCAGCCGGGGGACTGGCGAGCCGTGCGGCCGTGGGCGCGGGGCCAGAGGTCTTGGGCTGTCGGGCTGGCCCCGCGCTCTCGCACAGTCGGGATTCGCCCTCTTGGCGCAGCGAGCGCCGCGACCGCCGGGAAGGGTGCAGGACGTTGCCCGAGGTTTCCCCCAGTACAGGAGCTGCAAGGGGACAGGGTCGCCTGCGCGGTCACCGCGGTCCCAAGCTGGACCGTGGTGCTGTGACCGCTGTGCTCTTAACTGCTTGCGGAACGTGCAGGGGCCGGGAAGCCTGTGTCTGCGGAGGCGGGGGCCTCGCGGACGTGTCGTTTCCTAAATACTGCTTTCCGATGCCGAGCGCAGCAGTGTGTGCGCGCGTGTGTGTGCGCGTGTGTGTGTGTGTGTCTGTGCGCGCGCGCGCGCGCGCGCACAAGGGCAGGGGGCTGCCCGGAATTTTCACATCGGTAGCAGCCGGGAAAGGTGGGCTCAGCGCTAGGACCGTGTTTCCTCAGTAAGTGCCTCTTGGCACCGCTCCGTCCTCGCCGCTCCGGCTCGCTGCAGAGTCTCCCCTGGCAGGCGGAGGCGCTGCTCGCCTCAGCGGGGACCCACAGCCTCTCCCTCGGTGCAGAGAATAACCTAGTTAGCATTTGCTCAGCCTTTCCCTCCGCTCCGTCCTCCTCTCTGAAGGTTTTTTCCCCGACAGGGCTCTCCCAAGCCCTTCCAGGACCGCATCTTTTGCTGCCACTTCTTTCCTTCACGGAGAAAAAGATGTCAACTCCCAGTTCCAGTCACCTTCACAATCGCAGGAAGTCATAGAGATATTTAGATTTTTGAAACATTAGCTGTAAGGTAACTTTTAGGTGTGAAAATAGTCTTGATGGATTTGGGTGCTAAGCAACTGAAAACAGCACATTTGTCCAAGAACATTGTAAGCAACTGTGTTTTCCTCTTCTTCTTCTTTTTTATTTGGCACTCATTTTTGCATTAAGCGGGGAAAAGCCTTTGGAAAGGTTTTGGAATCCAGAGTACACATCAGAAGGCCAACGATTTGACCTCATGGCTGTGTGTTACACACTGTTACATATGCGTTTGGAAGCAGTGCTGGCCCAAGACTTAGCTGGAAAGACCCTGTTCGCTAAAATGTTGTCGGGGGGAGGATTTTAAGCCTACTAGTAATACATTTTATTTAGTGGAAAACTGTAAGGTTTTTATGAAATATTAAAAGACACGTGAAAAGATGTTTCTTAAAACTATGAAGTCTTTTGTTCAAATGGCAAAATATTTAGTTACTGTATAATTTTTAAAATCATTTCCCCCAAGCTCCATAGGGTCAAAGTTAGCTAGAATATTTGGGAGGCCCCACGCACTCAAGGGCTTCCTGCAGCCTTCAATGTTCAGCCAAGCTCGGGGAGGTGGTGTTATCAGAATACTTAATGGGCACCGAGGTCACGCGCTGCTGAAGGGGTCTGCACATATAAAGCAATGCCGAGTCTGTGCGCCCAGACAGCTGCCTGTCAGCCACACCGACACCTCCGATAAGTGGGTGCCGGTGGAGATCTGGCAGCCCCGGGCTGGGGCTGTTCTTTTAATAAAGCGCGGTAGGTGGTTGTGCTGATGATAAATGACCTTGAGCAAGGCAGCGCAGGGGAGGAGGGGATTTTTTTGGGTGTAGCATCCACATCTAAAAGGAAAACAGGCCTTTCCTCTACATTTTACGCTTTTAATATGGAAATTCTCAAACCCTCTTCCAGGCTCTCTGCCCTGCCCTGCTCCCTCTAGCCGCATTCCCTCCATCGGAGAGTGTTAGTGGTTCAGAAATGTGCACGGACTAGTGAGGGAGAGAAGGTAGTTCCTACAGGAAATTCTCTCTTTTTTCTGGGGCATTTGTTCCTCTGTTGCATGCAGTCTGGTCTGTATGAGTTCTTTCCTTTCTTTTATTTTTAAGCAGATTGTCCAGGGAGTATCAACAATGTGTACATTAGATAAAATAGCTATAGATTATGGATGAAGCTATGGCACTTAAAAAAAGAAAATCCAACAGTTAATCATTGAGGGACAGTAACTGTGGACAGACATTTCCTGTGTTCTGATTAGAGTGTCTTCAGTGTGATCTTGGATTTTACTCGGGCACTGCAGCTCACGGGGGCATTTTGGCCCATGATCATTGTTATTTTTTAAAATTCCAAAATAGAGATTTATTTATTACGATTTATTTAGTTTATGCAGAAATATCACCCGTTGTTTCTCACTAGGTTTTTAACACACATCAGTTCTTTGGGGGTCACTCCATTCACCCCAACACTTTAAAAAACACAGCTCATTTTAGTGCCAGGAAGATGGTGAAGGCAGTGAGGCCGGTTCCCGGGTCTCCCTGGGAGGGAATGCACATGGTAGGTGGTTTCTTAGGTTGGACAAGCTCCCCCTGAAGAAAATAATTATGCAGAAGAAGGCAAATTCAGTCATCTCTGATCAGTTATTTGTGCCTGACAGCCTTGAAATAAAGCCCCCTTGGTCAGGGCCACCAAAGGCCTGCTGGTTCCTTTCAGCTGTGAAAGCTGCGGGGGGTGGGGAGGGGGAGGCGCGAGGAGATGCAGGGGCCCGCGTTTCCAGGTCCGGCTGTGCAGCCACAGGCCAGCGCTCACCAGTTTGCGTTTGTTTTGTTTTCTGTTTATCCCACAGTGGGGTCCTGTGTAATTTCAAATCAAACTCCTTGTGGTCCTTAAAATGCCTGGGACATCATTGGTCCAGGCTCTTAGGACACACACTTTCACAGTGAGGTGCATGACAGGGCTCCCCCAGAGTTACACTCTGCGTAGGGGAACAAGTCAAAGAACCCTAGGCCCTGATTTATTAGCAACATTAATTGACTTTCACCACACTGACAGGAAGGTACAGTAGGTCTGTGCTGTTGTGAAGCTCAAAAGTGATTCTGAAGTAGGATTGCTATTTATTGCTCCATTAGGATAGATCCCAAAAACGACTTTTAGAAAACCAGGGCTGGCCCCCGCAGACCCGGCCAGACTCTGGGCCGCTGTGGGGAGCGCGGGCCCGGGCGGCCGCCGGCTCGTTCCCGGTGATTCGGGTTTGTCTGCTGTTGCGAGCGGCTGCTTGCGCGCAGGCGGTGGGCGGCCGGGGTGCCCGCCGCTGGGCGCCCTACGCCGTGCGCTTGGGCTGGCGTTCGTCTTGGTGTACAGCTCGTAGGTGACGTCAGCGGTGGCCATGCGGTGACCAGCACAGGCAGACCTCACCAGGCACTCCCCCTCCTCAGGTCCTGGCCCGTGGGGCACACGTCCAGGAGGTCGGGCTCCCAGGGTGCCGCGCACAGCGCCGCCTGGAGGATCTGCAGGCCCGGCCCTGGGGCCTCTCCCCAGCCAGCTCCGAGGCCTTGGTGGTCTTGACACAGATGAGGCTGGGCGATTCTTGCCCCACTTCCCACACAGATGCTCTGGAGAAAGACTAGATGAAACGCAAGCCTCTTTTCAGCCACATCAGCGCCGATATGGCCCCTATTTTGGGCGACTCTGCTCCGTACGGTTCATCCTCCGCCTCCAGGGTGTTCCGCAGGGCCTAGAACTGGGCGGGGTCGGCGTCAGACTCAGCTTTGATTGTTGTAAGGTTGCCAGGTATGTCCGCCTTGATGGGCGCAAACACTGGGGCCCCCAGGCAGTGGAAGAAGGGCAGCAGGTGGGACGCCACCGTGAGGAAGGGCCAGGCCTCCATCAGCTTGTCCGTGGGCAGTGGCTTCAGCAGGTGCTCGGCCAGCCGCGCAGTGTCGGACCTGAGGCCTGTGATGATGCCGGATGGGTGCCACAGGAGTCCACGCCCCACCCCCAACCGCCATTAGCGCTGGGGCCGGCACTGCCGCCTGCCGCAGACTCTGGGGACGCCAGCGTCCCATGAGCATTGTTAATGGCTGTGCGCATGAGTTCCGTGCATTGCTGTGAATTGTTTCTTTGTGAAGGGGAGTTTTGTCTGTGTTTAGCCCGTGCGCCATCTCTTTTCCAGTATGTGGTCTGAGTTGGCTGATACTCTGACGTGGTTATGCAGAAGAATGCTCATCTTGGAGTCCACGGCCCCCTTAGCGGGCGGCGCGCACTCTGCTGTGTTTATCTTTGAGGGAAATGGAGAGCAAGCTCGCTACACTCTGGATGTGCCGGGACACTTAGAAGAATGCCATCGTGAAATATGCCCTCAGCTCATAATGGGTTTGTTTACTGTCACATCCAAACACACCCATGATTTGGAAGCAATGTAGCAATGGACTGTGATGTGCTGTTTAAAAACATGGATATTTTTAGTTACACGCCTCCTTTTCCCCCAAGCAACCTTAATGAAGTGTATAGAAGGAATTCCTTGACTTTAAGAAAAGCATGATGTAAAGTGACCTTGGTCGAGGGCTGGTTTTCCCGAGTGCGGGGCCTTTCCTTCGCTTGTGTAGGCGCAGTTGAGTCACTCTCTGGGCTTGCCGATCTGTAGTTGGTATTTATGTGCAGATTGAGATGTAAAACAGTCTTGGCTGCAGAGTCCATCCTGCTCCCGAGGGAATGCTGTTTAGCTTTCCTCTGCAGGATTAGCTGTCTGACAGCACATTCTTCTCAGTGCTTATGCATCTTGCTCGATGGTGATAGGAAGCATCTTAGAAAGTGTTCAGCAATTAATAGCAGCAGTCAAAAGTGCAGAGGCCGAAGCACAGGCCTGGATAGATGGGGCCGG